AAAAAAAAAAAAAAAAAAAAAGAAAAAAAAAAGAAAGAAAAGAAAAAGAAACAGAGGGTTAACCATAAACAGGAATGAGCCTAGTTTGTCTTTACTATAAGGTGGGTTCTAAGTCTAAAATGTAGGCAGGCTGGTTCATTATCATATCAAAAAAGACAATGGAACACTCCTATCCCTATTTTTTGGGAGTAGGCACCTGTGTCTGTATAGCAATAGTAGATGTATGCCCCTAGGTTACATTCCTTAAAGGATGTTATTATAAGATTTAAAGGTGGGCTTACACTTTTCAAAACCTACTTTAATAAGGGTTCTTAAATGCTTTAACCTCCCTTCCAGCCCACCACCAATCAGAGGTAGTGGAAAGGAAAGGTTAATAGGAAATGGGGGTTGCGGATGTGTTTAGGAATAGTTCTTTGGGGTGATTCCAGTCTTCACTGTCAGGATAGCAGCAGTTCAGTTCACAGAAATCAGCAGTGGTGGCTCCATCCACTCACAGACAGAATTCACGAATCTGCAATGGCAGTTCAATCCAGAAGAAATTGCTAGGCACGGTCAATTGGCCCAAGTCTTTGGAAGCAGCAAGAAGCCACCGGAACACCATCAGAAGTTCTTTGGTACATTTCGCTCTATGAAGTTATGACAAATGATCAGCAGAGTGGCAAGGCGAACCAGTGCTACACAATGTGGTCAGTGTGAAGACCACTGTAAGGACCCAGAAAGAGGACCCCAACTCAAGTCCCAATTAGCGCGCACCCAAGGAGACACAAGAGACTTACTTGATGCAATGGCAAAAGGCAGTTTACTAACAAGGGCCCTTGGATCGAAACTCATCCCACGCAGGGGAGAGAATTTCGATGAAGACCCCAGGAAGTTTAGAACTTTTATAGGGGGAGGCACAAGGGGGAAGGGAAAAGTGGGAAATTCTGGCGCGATTACATATGATTGGATATTTCAAACATCAGCACTTTGCGTAAGCAATCATTTTGACAGGCTGGATGGCCCACTATTTTTGACCATGAAGCCTCAGACCTTCTAGGATAAACACCAGGTGGCCCATTACTCACTTGGGCATGTTTAGACTGGTCAAGATATGTCTTTGGTTGTTTCTACATTTCTGGTCACCTCGTCCCTAGAGGGGCTTGATATTTTTATTATGGCTACTCTCAGTAAGCTCAGCAAGCTGTCCTGCGGTCTTTGCCAAGTTGTTTGTGGTCTCTGCTGAGCTGTTTTAATTTTTACCCTTACACCACAAAGAGTAGCAAGGCAAACCACTGCCACACAGGGTTGTCCTATGTTCAGTGATACTTATACCCTTTCCAAACATAGCATGCCCTTTTTTCCAGGCAGCTTCTAGAAAAATACCACATGTCTCTTCTTAGGAAAACATCCTCCCATGTGTCTGCTTTAGCAAAAACATCCTCTTATAAGGCAGTTTCAAAAAAAAAAAATCACATGGCACAACTGAGTCTCCAAAAGAAATCAGAAATTTCCACTTAAAACTTTTTTTTTTTTTTAAGACAGGGTCTCTACATAGCCATGGCTGTCCTGGAACTCACTATGTAGACCAGACTGGTCTCGAACTCATAGAGCTCTAACTGCTCTTCCTTTTCCAGTGCTGGGATTAAAAGTATGCACCATCACATCCAGCTGACACACACCTTTAACCCTAGCAGTCAGGAGGCAGAGGCAGGTGAATCTCTTTGAGTTCAAGGCCATCCTGGTCTACATAGGCCATGAGTTCAATCCCCGGTACCATATAAACTAAGAATGGTAATATTCACCTGTAATCTCAGCACTGAGGAGGTAGAAACAGGATGATACGAAGTTTAGGTTCTCCTCTATATAGTGATTCGAGGCCAACTTGAGCTCTAGGATACTTTTGGAAAAAAAAAAAAGAGAGAAAAAACAAAACAGAAAAGACAGCCAGGGCCACATAGTGAGACCATCTCTAGAAAAAGCAGCAACAAAGAATTTTCTTTAGTAAATGAAATATGAAATTGTAGAGTGGCTTTATGAAGTGTGCTGTTTAAAGAATGAGAGAGGAGTGTTGATGTGGTAAAACTCTAGTTAATACATATTCAGGCTCCATGTAAGCAAAAATGATTTTTATTTTTCTGTTTCCTTTTCTTTCTTTCTTTCTCTCTCTTTCTTTCTTTTCCTTGTTTTTTGAGATAGGATTTCTCTGTGTAGCCCTGGCTGTCCTGGAACTCACTCTGTAGACCAGGCTGGCCTCGAACTCAGAAATCTGCCTGCCTCTGCCTCCCAAGTGCTGGGATTAAAGGCATGCGCCACCACTGCCCGGCTCCGTTTTCCTTTTCTTTTTCTTTTTTTCAAAAGTATCTTAGAGCCCAGGTTGGCCTCAAATCACTATGTAGTGGAGAACCCAAACTTCTGATCATCCTGTTTCTGTCTCCTGAGTGCTGAGATTACAGGTGAACATTACCATACTTGGTTTATATGGTACTGGGGATTGAACTCATGGTCTTGTTCATGCCAGACAAGCCAACTGCTAACTGATCTACATCTTCAACCCCTGTTTACTGTTGTCAACATCCTTGTTTGAATCTCTTTGAGAAATGTGCATTATCTCTGTAGGTAGTTTTGGATTTATCTTTTTTTTTTTTTTTTTTTTTTTGGTTTTTCAAGACAGGGTTTCTCTGTGTAGCCCTGGCTGTCCTGGAACTCACTCTGTAGACCAGGCTGGCCTCGAACTCAGAAATCCTCCTGCCTCTGCCTCCCAAGTGCTGGGATTACAGGCGTGCGCCACCACCACCCGGCTGTGTCTAAGATTGTTAACTCACAATAGGAAGGACAAACTAGATCCCAAGGAAATGGCTTCTTTTCCTTCTAATGTCCTCTTCAGTCATAATCTGTCCCCATAGATTCCTAGGAACACTGTCTTGCTATGATCCATGGCCCTGGGGTCAGAATGGTATTTATCCTCATGGCAGAGGGATGGCCAGGTCCTCAGAAGACTTCCCAGAAGTGCTTGCTTGGAGTTTGTCTCAGTAGTACTGACTTCTTGGAAAATGAGCTGTAGTCTCCTTTCCACATAGCTAGGAGAGGGGTAAGAGTCACCAGCTAGTTATTTTTTAACTCAAGTTATTTTTCACCGTTACTTTCTGACCATTGTCAATTCTGGGCAATGTTTGAGATGGGCTGCCAGTTCCAGGTGAGGGATACTAGTATTAACAGAAGTTCCCAGGAGAAAAAAGCAACACCCACATGGTAGCCAGTCTTTGCTACTTTGTGGGTTCTTTTTTCTACCATTTATCGCCATGGTTTCACCCCCAAACACAAGGATAGAGGGGAGAGAGGAATTAGGAAAATTCCTGAATCTAATTTCTTTTCTTTTGTTTCTTCTTTGGCCATGGCTACACAAACAATGCTCCAAAATAAACAAAAAAACCACCCACCCACCCTGACCGCTTGGGGGCCCTCGAATTTATATAACTTTTGAAAAGTTCCCAGAATTCCAAATGTCAGACAATCACAAAAATGATCTGCAGCTGGCAAAACCCTCCTCCTGCTAGAGCAAGAGGTAAAGTCATAGTCAGCTGCTGTGGGCAATCCAAAGCAGCCCCGCATCACCACACCTGGGATTAAAATAAAAACACATTCCTCTATTTCAGTGTTTTTAAAGAAATCAAAATTCTAAAATAGTCACTACACCTACATTAACATTCTACAAGGCTGATTGACCAATTAGAAGTTCATCGATTGTGAAGAGTTGAAATTTGCAGGTCTAGAGCCAAACTTTCTTCAGCCGTCTGAGCCCTCTAAATAGCCATTTATTGCTCACTTTGTGTTTGACCTAACATCCTTGTAACTATTAGGTAAATGCTTTTGGAATGTACAAAAATTCTCCCAGCTTCCATTAGCCTAATTGCTAAGAATGTTCTCGGGGGTCTATAGCTGAGACCTCATCACTTTGCTCTAATCTTCCTACCTGATGGACCCACCAAAGTATTTGAAAAGTGTCTTGATTTGTGACTTTCTTTGTTCTATTACTATAAAAACAATAAAACTGTTAGCATGTTAGGACATGGTACTCAGAGTAACCAAAATCTGAGGCAATGCTCACTCACATTCGGCCCCATAAGAAACTCTTCTTGGCTTTGAGGTGAGAGAACTATGCTTATGCTTCTGTTGGTTTGTTTGGTTTGGTTTTTTTGCACTGATTCTAGTATTCTTTTTTTGTTGTTGTTGTTGTTTTTCCGAGACAGGGTTTCTCTGTGTAGCCCTGGTTGTCCTGGAACTCACTCTGTAGACCAGGCTAGCCTTGAACTCTCAAACTCAGAAATCTGCCTGCCTCTGCCTCCCAAGTGCTGGGATTAAAGGCGTGCACCACCACTGCCCAGCTGATTCTAGTATTCTTAGAAATTGCTTTTGTGATGGAATTGGTCAGTGTTATGATAAAATGGCAGAAGATACCAAAGATCACCATGCAACAAATCTCACATGCAAGATATATTGGTGGTGGTGGGGGGATGCAGAGCCTGCCTCTGAGCGAGGGTGGAAAGAGAAGGTACTAGCTTTTTATAAGGGGGTATAGTGTATGTACGTGTATATGGAAGGTACACAACTCATCATGACAATGGAAATATGTCCCATTTTGGTGGCTGATGACTTGCCTGCTGTTGCTAGGTTACTGAAAGTGGGCTTAGGGGTGGGGTTTTCCAACAGATGGGGTACCTCGGTGGCAAAGGTTTTCTGCTAGAAAGAAAGGAGCATACTTAGGCCTGAGCTTCAGGGAGGTTAGTGACATTACACTTTTTGAGGCTCCCAATGGAGGCCTAGGCCTGGATTAGGTTTCTGAATGGCTCCTAAGCAAGCCTAGAGCAAATTCACAACATACCTTGAACTTTCCTGGAGTTTTCCCTCTGGTTCAAATTCCTTCCTAAAACAAGCTCCATCTCCAGGGCATGGACTGGGGCGTGGGGTGTGGCCAGAGCAGGTGAATAACACAGGTTATAACAATCCTGACCCACATGAGGATATTCTAAAAACCACGGAGGTAGCTCAAACCTTTAATCCTAGCGCTCGGGAGGCAGAGGTGGGAGGATCTCTGTGAGTTTGAGGCCAGCCTGGTCTACAGAGAGAGTTGCAGGCCAGCTGGGGCTACACAGGGAACCCCTGCCTCAAAAGAAACAAATACCTGCTTTTTTTTTCTGCAAGTGTGTGTGTGCGCGCACACACACTCTCAGGTGGACAACTCTAATTAAATGTAGTGGCCTGAAACAAACAAAAAAGACATGAAAATAGGAGGTGGATTTTTGGAAAAGAAATGAGTTTGGTGGAGAAGTGGGAGATGTGTGTGTTGGTATCAGGCTGGAACCCAGTGACATCACATCTAGGCGACCCCCACATCATTGCCAAAGCAACCGCCATACACTCCCAGAATCCACCTGGCTACCTCGCCTTTACCTGGAAGAGGCTATGTCACTGCCCATATAAAACAGGCAGAACTCCCTGACCTCGCTCTCTTCCTCCGCCATCTTCCTCTATTTCTCTCCCCCCACCTTTGCCCTATCTCCTGAATACACACCCCCTCCCGGAACCGTTTGGTCTGGTGTTGTCTGTTCTAAGCCATGTGCGGACGTCTAACAGTGTGTGTGATTAAAGTGCATCATGTATGTATGTATATGGAATTGGGAATAAATAAAGACTCTAACCCTCAAGTTAGGACCCTCAAAATGGGCTTGGGAGTTGTTACTGGACCACTGTTCTTAGCAGTGTAGCCCACTGACTAAATCTTTCTGGGTTTTTCGTTATTACTTGTTAAGTGGGCTTATTGAGGACAGGTGGCTGAACCTGGCTAGCTCAGGGCTGTCAAGAGCTCAGGTTCTCTCACTCTAAAAGTAATGAGAAGCCTAAGTCTTTTTTCACAGTTCCTCAGAACACAGACATTTCTAGCCCCCCTCAGGAAGGTCTTTGGTTTCTTCCTCCTGAGAACAAAGCTCACCTCTCCCCACCGGCACTGGAATTTCTTTGTTCTGGGAAGTCAAGGGGCTGGCTGGAGTTTTCCTGGGGCACAGTCCCCTCCAGCCACACTCTCACTGGCTTCAGAGAGAGAGAGAAGTGGAGAAACTCGGTGATTCATCTGGCTTTGGGAAAAGAAAAGGGCAGAGGTGAACCTCGGCTTATTTATTCGTGACTGAGAAAGCTGCCTGAGACACTCAAGACAAGACATAAAGGCCGAGCAAAATGTAGCAAGGATCTGGGTGGAAGCCCATGAGGAAGCCATTAATCCATTAGCTTTTCTTAAAAAAAAAAAAAAATCCAAACACCATCTGCCCACCTACCACAATTCCTAGGGAGGGAGGCCTGTGACCCAGGAGCATGTAGTGGCTGTCCTCCGGGAACAGTGGATCTGCTGTTCTTCACAGGAAAAAAAAAAAAACCAAATGCAGATTCTGGTGCATGAAGTCATCGCTCACCCCTCTTCTGCTTTTTGTCTGACACCGAGGCAGGCACACGAGGCAGCCTTACTCATTCTGGTGATGAGCCCAGGGACAAAGAAAAACCCGCAGTGGCTTTCTGACTTATTCCAAAAGGAACACGGGGGCAGGGCACAGAAATAAACTGCAGTTTTACAGGTTAAAGATAAACGGAGCTCAAAAGAGTGAAATTTCATTCTGTTTAAAACCAAAATCCAAAAAATCGGGGCCGGCTGAATCTAGCCAAGTGTTAAGCCTAGGGACTTGAGTTCCATCTTAGGACCCACCCACATGGGTCCACCAACTCCCCGCCATTAATCCTCTGACCCCCACAGGCATGTTATGGCACGCATGCAGCCACTAAATCGATGAATAAATACAATAACAATTAAAATAAAACACACTGAAAACGAAAATTGGGGGGGTGGAGTAGTGGAGAACTTGACATCATATCCACGAAAAATACTCGGGTGTGGGGCTCAAAGTGATACTGAGACAGGCTGTTGGGAGTAAGGGATGTATTTACTAGAAGAGTTATTAACGCCACGGACAGACAACAGGAACGGCAAGGATTTTGAAGAGAGGAATCAGGGTCTATGTGGTCGAAGTGGGCCTGTGTGCCTCTTAGAGGGAGAAGATTGCAGAGCAGGCGCCTGCCGTCAGATTCCCAGGCAGAGGGTAGCGAAGGGGGTGGGGTGGGGGTGGAAGCATGTGTAGCCACCAATGCCGCCTTTGAAGTAAGCTCACTTCCCCAGGTTAGAAACGCTGGCACCTGGAAGTCTGTGAGCTAGAGATGTGCAGACAATGTCTCCGCGGCGTGCTTGGCTGAGATTGCATGGGGGATGAGCTGCTGCAGGCACTGTGAGCAGCTGCTCAATTCTGCTATTCCATTCTTACACCCAAGATCCTAGGCCCAGTCAGTCCCCATCACACCACCCCTATAAAACAAATACCACGTGGCAGAAGTGTCCGTAACCCTAGCACCAGTAAAGCTAAGGCAGGAGTGTTAGTATTTTGTCTATACTGCGCCCCACAGTTACCTGGCAACAGCCAGGCGTGCCTGACTGACTATATATAAGGGGCTACTTGCCCCCTCCTTTCTCTCTTGCCTTCTTGCTCTGTCCTCTTGCTCCTGCTCCCTCTCTCCACGTGCTCGTGGCCGACCTCTATTCCTCTCGTCCCCTCTCTGCCTTTCTGTCTCTACTAACCTTTCAACTCCCCTCCCTATGCCCTGAATGAACTCTGTACTATACTGTAGTCGTAAGGCTGGTCCCTCAGGGAGAAGGGATGCCTCGGCATGGCCCCGCGGAGGCGCCCCCTTCCCCCACACCTGACTGCACATCCACCAAACATATTCCTTCTCTCTTTATCTTTTTATAAAACACAATAAGAATTACTGCTAGTCATCTACTGCTACAGGATGAGACCTCGTCTTGAACAAGACAAAACAAAACAAAGAAATAAGACAAACTGAACAAAAAGACGCCCCTCCCCTTAACTCTGGCTACCGGGAGTTGTGCCTGGGCTTGCTTAACTTCCAATCAACACCGAAGGCTCAATGTTAATTTGCAACCAGGATGCTGGGCTTCAACCTACATTCTAACTCTCAACACAAATCCTTGAGGCATAGTAATCATCCTTAAATAGAAAGCTATTGGGGAAGGGAGCGGGGAGGAGAGAGGAGGGGAGAAGGCAACTGGAGAAGAAGGAAAGGGAGAGAGGGAGGGGGAGGGGAAGGGAGAGAGGGGGAAGTGAGAGAGAGCAAGACCGCCAAGCAGTGAGTGCGCAGAGCCACGCCTCAATCCGAAGGGTTCCCAGCACAGATAAGAAACCCCCACAGCTGAAGTCGCATACAGCCCACTGGGAGAAAAGGCCACTTCCTGTTTACTGCCTTCCAGCTGGGGGTGGGGAGCGGTGATGGAAGCCATTGCTTGTAGCTGTAGGAAAGAATCGAAACTGCTGGGTTAGGGCAGCAATTGCAGCATTGCATCTCATTACTCTGCTCGCCCGCGGACCAGGCAGAGCTAATACCATAATAATACCAAGGAGGTGCGGGGGCCTCGCGGCAGGTGCTGTCATCTAGCTTTGAGTAACCACGCAACATCCTTCCGGGGGCAGAGATGGGGAACAGATACCAGCCTTAGTGCACCCCCCCAAACCTCCCCCCGATGCCGCATCAGGGCTGTGCTGCGGAGGCTCCATGATGCAATCGCAGTCGCAGATTCGCAGCTCAAAGACTTGAGTCAGGATTGGGCTTGGTTTTGAGTCCTCCCCCTCCAGTAGCTACTTCCTCCACAGTATCTCTCATCACTTGGGCTTTTAGGTTTTAGCACCGGACTGTGGGGCGGAGTAGTTAATCCCTTGGCATTGCTAATGCCTCTAAACACATCATTCTTTCCATCCCCCACCCTGGGGCTCTCGGGAGAAAACGATCCAATCCGAGGCCACGCAGCACTTCTGAGCAGGATAATAGAGCTTCTGACCTCAGCATAGGAATGTCTAAACTTAGTTGTGGCTCCTGGAAAAAAACATGTGCCAAGGACCCGACCCTGTTTGATCGATGGAGAGAGTGTCAATGGCTCTAGGTGCTTTGCAAAGCAGTTTGGAGGTTCTTTTAAGAAGTCAAGCTTGAGGGGCTGTGTTGACACAAGCCTCTGTAATTCCAGCACTCCGGAGGCAGAGGCAGGTGGATCTCTGAGTTCGAGGCCAGCCTGCTCAAAAGAGAGAGAGTTCCAGGACAGCCAAGGCTATTGCACAGAGAAATCTTGTCTCAAGAAACAAACAACAAAAAGTCAACCATGGTTGCCAGTCCCCTACGATGTCCATTTCTAAGTATTTAGCCAAGAGAACTGAGAACATAAAGCCTACCCAAACACTAATACATGACTATTCCCAACAGTGTTGTTCCTAATGAGAAGGTCACAATGATTAACTAACAAACGAACAAACAAAATCTGGTGTATGTGTAACACAGAAGATGCCAGGCATGGTGATGCACACCTTTAATCTCAGCACTCAGAAGGTAGAAGCAGGGTAATCTCTGTGAGTTCGAGGCCAGCTTGGTCTACAGAGCAAATTCCAGGACAGCCAGGACTACACAGAGAAACCCTGTCTCAAAACAAAAACAATAGCGACAAAAAAAAAAAGGAATGACGTGCAAACTGTGGTAACCCATGCTAGTAATGGTGGCACTTGAGAAGTAGACAGAGAAGGACTGCCACAAGGTTGAGGGCTATATGATAAGACTTGTGTCAACAAATGGAAAAATAAAAGCCAGCAAGATGCCTTAAAGGGGTTAAGATGCTTGTCCCCAACTCTTACAACCTAAATTAAAAATCCCAAGATTCACCTGTTGGAAGGAGAAAACTGACTCTAAATTCTTTAACTTACACACACATGCATATACACACCATAAATAAATCAATATTTTTTCTTAAAAAATGTACTGATGGCTGCTCCATGGGGCGTGAGTCTAGGAAACACTCTAAGCTTTCAGAGCCGAAGGGTCACCTATTTTTGCTCACTTTTGTGTTTTGAGACATGGTGTTGTAAATTAGGTGCCCTGCCAGCCTGCTCAGGGACCCCTATCAGGGGTGGTGCAGTCACCCCGAGCTTGCTCAAGCTCTCTTTTCACTCTCTCTCTCTCTCCCTCTCCCCCCTCCATCTCCTCTTGTAAGGGTCCATGACTTGCTGAAGAATGATACCCCTGACTCAAATAGTATGTAAATGCAAAGAGCGTGTTATTCTGCACAAGTCCAGCATGCTGGGATCTCCCATTACCAAGGCAGAGAGACAACCAAGTGAGCTCGCAGGCCTGATTGAAAGCTCATTAAAGCATCGGGGTAGGTGACCTTTCTCTTGCTCCATCTCTAGGGACATTCCATTACCCAGGTGTGGAGACTGGAAACTGACGTCTGGAAACTGTTGCTGACCATTGTCCTTTCTTCAAGCTAGGTGGCGGGGCAGCTTCTGAGGGCAGGGCAGTTTCTGACTAGCTGCCTGAAGCCTGGGTTTTTTTTTCTAGTAACTGACTTGCCTGGACTTGCCCAGTTTTTACCCAGTTTGAAGCCTGTCGTAGAGTCAGCCTAGCCTTCACACACATACTCTGTCCATCTCTTCTCTATCTCTCTTATTCATTCTCTGTCTCCCAGTTTCTCTTCATCTCTCTCATGACCTCACTCCAAGATGGCCTTTAGTTCTCTCTCCTCCCCCAATAAACCTCTTGTGTTATTTCGGTTCTGTGGCGTAATCTCTTAGTGGCATACCTTAGCCCTGGATCCACCAAAGGTACCTTTTCACCACTATATCCTAACACAGAGTGATGTGCTTATAAAAAGTTAAAGAAATATAGAATATGTTCTGTGGGTATGTGGTGAGGTATGGGAGAAGGGGATGCCTCAGCGGGTCCATGCAGAGACATCCCTTCCCCCTGAGGGACCAGCCACACAATGGTATAGTATAGAATAGAGTTTATTTAGGGCATGAGGAGGGGATTTAAGAGGGTAGGAGAGGCAGAGAGAGGGAGAATGTAGAGAAGTAGAGGTCGGCCATAAGTACCTGGAGAGAGGGGAAAGGGAAGAGGGAAGGGGTGAGGGGACAGAGGGAAAACAAGAAGGCAAGAGAACAGATCAAGAGAGAGAGGAGGGGGCAAGCAGCCCCTTTTATAGTGGGTCAGGCCTACCTGGCTATTACCAGGTAACTGTGGGGTGGAGTTTAGACAGAATGCTAACACAGGGACTCATGGAAATCAGATTGGCTTCCAACTCGGTATGTAGCTAGGGATAACTTTCACCTCCCAAGTGCTAGGATCACAAATCTCATTTTACCATGCCCAGCTTAACCATTTTGTTTATATGGAGAGTCCAGCCCAATACACCATGATAGGCAGATAGCAGATTCATGGTTGCCAGAGTTGAGGCTTGAGGATGGGAAATGACT